TCTAAAAACCTTGTGTAGCGGTATCGCACGACAAATTACTTATTACTAGGTACACGTGTTTATCGGACCAAAAGATTAAATATAAATAATACAAACTATTATAAAGATACAAACTTTGAGGTATGTTATGTACATGACAGTGGTGGTATAGGTGTATAATATATGTATTATAAGAAATAATTTGATTGTTTTCGAAATTTTATTATTATTATTATAATTTTACTATTATCGAAAAATTTATTTTTTAAATTTTTTCTTTTCTTGTTAAAATTCTGCGTCACCCCTAAGCTAGGTCCACGTCACCCTAAGATGACATGTCACCCCGGTTGAGAACTACTGGTCTAGACGGTTTATATTCCCTAGCTTTTAATAAATCAAATTCGCTGGATGTATTGGTACTACAAAGCTGCTTTAAACAAGTACTACAATTTTTAAATACAATTTTATTCAGCTTTTTTATAATAAATCCAGCTATGTAAGTGTGGGTGAGTAATTTAAGATCTTGAGTAATCTTATCATTATCATTATATGGTGCTACTTTTTTAGGTAAATCACATGAAAGTACTACTGGTTGGGTTGGATTTGGTGATGTGCTGAATGAAAATAATTTTTTGTAAGTCAATAGGCCGCTTTCAGTAAACTCTTCACAATTTGATCCGGGCGAATGTGATGACACAAGATTATTTAAGAGTAACGTTTTGTAGGAAGAAATAAAAAGACTGCAGGTAGGATTTTGACAGCTAACACTCCTGGCACCGCCGAACAAACTTTCCAACGAATCTTGGTTCAAATGCCTTGGTAGAAATGATTTGATTCCCTTACTCTCTAAACATTTTGACAATGTTTGAAAACCTAGAAAAATATTCACTTAATAAGTAATGTTATGATTTAAACACAATCACCAACTAATATAATAATTAAATAATAATTAATAATGGTCATGGTATTGATTGATTAAAAATTAGTAATAAACAAAAAATACCATCATCATTATTAGATTCCTTAATTATAGTTGAAATAATGCTAGGTTTTGCTTTTAATTGTACATCAATACAACTAGGTGAAACTATTATAGCTACAAAACAGACAAAACAAAATTAAAATGGTATTGAAATTGTTATTAATTTATGTAATATATATATACCTGATGAAATCAAATTCAATGTCTGTTTAGCATTGGCATTTATTTTTTTTGTGCCAGGACTGGAGCAATCACTAGCAAAATGAGCAGCACAAATAAATTTATTTTTGTAAACCATTTGTGTGTCACAATTGTCTAGGCTCAAAATTTCTATCCATTCCAAAAGTCGATTCATGTATAATTTCGGGTTTGGAAACCAATGAACAACCACATCTTTTAAAAAAAAATAATAATATAAAAAATATTGGTGTTTATAATATTTTATAGTATTAATATAGTATATAAATATAGTGTAATTATCGTCTTAAATTTACGATGTTTATGTATAATTTACGCTATCGACATAAAAATCGTTACTTACCTCTTGATTTACAATCATTCACGCCACACTTCGACAGATTTTTGGGTGGCATTTGAAAGTTAAAAAGTCTTTTTTATTAAAGATATTAATACACAAATACACAACTACTGTATTATAATACACAACACAGGTCACAAATGTGAGATGTTAAATAGTAGTATATAATTTAAACTTCAAACGAGACAGGCAGGCAGACGAGTGTCCATAGATAAATATATGTATGATAAGTATGCGAGTGTCACAAGCAGCCAGCAGCTGATCCACGTCGCCCGACTACGACGACGTGCAGCGCTAAAGGTGGTTGTACGATAGAACTATACATGGTATCAAATGCTCTTATAGAGTTGCACCACCCTGATCGAGCATTCATACCACGGACTAAGATATAATGGACTGGAAACGACATGGTCGGCGGGGATCGGGGGACGGCCACGAAAAGATGTCACTTAGCTGATAAGAATACTGTTCTTGAAGTTTTCAGCGCTACCGGTGGTTTTATTTGGCAACACAATTTGTATCTTAGTCTGTGTTAAATACAGAGGGCGCTGTGAACTCCAAGAACAGATAGCGACCCCCCGCACTTTGCCTCTTGTACATACATTCGTGGCCATGATAAGCTGCTCGTTTCCAGTCCATTATATCTTAGTCCGTGATTCATACTGAGCCGCCGACAGCTATCAGACCCCCCAGGCTACAGCAGACGCGGTGTGATTGGCCAGCATGCGCTAACAGAACCAGTTTTCGTCCGAGCGACTGGGCACTCTTAACCCGAACAGAGTGTAGGTATGAAAGGTAATATTAATGTTAAAATAAATATGGTAATTTAAATGAACCTCTAGCTTTTGAAAAATACCAAGAATTATATGATATTATAGTACTTAAAGCTAGACTTATTATCCATCATAAAACACCATGGGTGTGTGCCAGCCCAGATGGTCTTGTTATCAAAAATGGAAATATTGAAAGAATTCTTGAAATAAAGTGCCTTCTCTCTTGTAAAAATAAACAAACTATTGAAAATGGAGTACCTAATTTAAAATATTTAGACTTTGTATATTATAAATTAGAACTAAAAAATCTAACGTATACTAAACCCAAGTCCAGGTATTGATGTATTGTGCAGGTTTAAAATACTGTGATTTATTTATCTATAATAATATTAAGCCTGTTTTGTTAACTATTAATAGAGACGAATACTTCCTTAATTCTTTAATGCCCAAAATTGAATATTTTTACTTTCATTTTTACTTGCCAAAATTACTTAATATTTAAATTTTTAATTCTATCATAATATTATGTTTTATTCAACATATTTGTTAATTTTTTTAATAATATAAGTATAATTTTTACATACATAGTATTATATATCAATATTAATATAAAGATAAACTAAGAAGTTGTCATATGTCGTATATTGTAGATAGTCGTCAAGATATTATTTAATATATATGTAATAGAGGTGGGAACATTTTAAATTGTAAAATATTGACATAGGTCAGTGAAGCAATATGTGCTGAGGCAGCAATAAGATTTTACTATATAACCGCCAGACACGGAGAGCCCCGTTGTCGCTGAGTGATTCGGCGAGGACGTAGGTACGACGGTTGTACGTGTGAAACGTCGATCGTAGTACGGGCTAGGCAATCTGGATTTGCTAAGTGTTTCATTTATGTTTGTTTTAATATAATAAAAGTGTTTCCGACCTAAAAACCCGAGTTGAGTATTATTTCAAAGTCTTCTTCGTTCTTACCTTTAATATTGGAACAGTGCTCAGACCCACACTCCTATAGTCAATGAGGTTTATTACAAACTGAACAGTGCTCTAGTTGTGGCGTCCTAATAGTCATTCCATTTTAGGAAACGGACGAAGAACTGACAAAACGCATACCATCGTACCTACCTCAAAGGTTAACAGTGCTAATCTGAATTTATTCTGGAGACAGTCATTAGCCTAGAGCGTACGAGGGTAAGGTATAAAGTTGGTTTACCGCGTATTATCCGATACTGGTGATACCACATATATTATACAATAATATATTATTATTATATTTATTAGATGTTGAAAAAAAAATATCTATTAAGACTTGGTCAACCTGTGAAATATATATTATTTATTTTTACAAATAAAGTGAAAAGGTACTTATGTTTTTAATATGTACAATATGTATCTTACTCTAAAATATTACATAATGACTAAATCTACTTATAAAATTAATATAAATATTGACTTATTGTTTAATTATTGGTAAATGTAAATTAGTTAAAGTACAACATATATGCATTATGTCATCTATGTGAGGAAGTAACTCTATTTTAATTTTATTTAAGATGTGATAAGTTTTTAATCTAGCAAAAAATCTTTCAATGTGTATTCGTACACTTGCTACGGAATAAGTTTCAATAACTTCTTCTTCGCTGAATCGACCATTGTGTAAGATTGGGGGCATAATTAATATAGAATTGCCTTCACAATTTGTTTTAATACCAGGGAAAGCCTTTGTTAGCTAAAACCTGATAAGCAACCTCTAGCTTAGAGAGGAATCCACTATCGTTAGTAATAAACGTATCACTTGACCGACCTCCATAGCATTTTGAAAGGAAACTTATGGCACCATTAGCCATTAGGTGTTATAGCAACAAGACATTTAATGGTATATAAACTCTTATATCTTGAGTACATACATACTCTTTGCTCTACAGTAGGTGGCTGCTCAACTTTAATTTCCGTACAGTTTATAATACAACGACAGTTGGGATAATTTTTTTTAAAAGCATAAAGAAGAGTTGCTGAAATAGTATCTTTACTAGGCCAAAAAAATAACTGTTTAGTTTTTTTGGATAAAATAGAAAGTATATCAAAAAAGATCCTGCTGACAGTGGTACGATGAATCTTAAACATAACCCCAATAGCTGAAAAACTCACACCAAGTTTTTTTTTTCATTAAAAAAGAAGAAGTTTATTTTAGTTGTTTAAAGTGCTATTAACACCTGTGTCTGGTAACATATTAACCAACATGTTAAATACAGCATAAGAAGTGCCTGTCAAATCTTTCAAAGAAAGTTCATGGTTAATAGATTCATAACCATGAAATTGATCACAGGATAAACAAGTTATAAGATTCAGAGCTGGGACCACGACATTTATCTTTAACATTTTGTTGTTTAATTATAAAGTTGGTTGGAGTTGTTATAGAAGTACTAATGCAGTTGTTATTTAAAAAGCAACATTCAAATGGAAAATGTTTTACGTCTGTAACATCGAAAGAGACTTGTGTTCCTTCATCACAATAAAATTAGTTAATGGCTTGTTAATATTGAATGATTTAAATCCACTATCAATGGGATTTGAATTAGCTTTAATAACAGGAACAGTAGATTGCCACGTTACTACTTCGGTGGCAAAAACAGTTGTATCTTGAGGATTGTTGAAGTTCATTATTATTTTTGAAGTTATTATTTTTATATGTTGTTGGAAATATAGTAGGAACATATGCTGGATTATTGGGATGTCTTAATAGTTTTATTTCCAACAAAATGATCACCACATATAACTGTAAGGACATTCGGTATCCAAGGTGTTCCATCATCACTACAGATACATACAATAGTATAAAATGAAATTAGTTGCATAAAAATAAAAATTAATATCCTTGACACTTACTTAATTCTTTTAATACTTTTGATCCACTTTTCCTTAAGCTCTTTTTCATGTTGTCTATTAGGAAAGTTAAACATTTTATGACCTGTTCTGTTAGTATTGCTACAATTGACAACACAACACATCTTTTGACCACTTCTCTTTTTATTGTTACTCATTTTTTATTTAAACAATATCACTTGAAAGAATAAAATGAAACAAATATAAATATACGTGTGATACTATTATGTGTAACAACGATAAACAATAATAGTCTGAAGTCAGAACTAACATCATTTAATAATTACTACCTACCTAACGTATCATACACATTTCATTCGTTGCTATCGATTAATTCGTAAGTGGTCCACTATTTCATGGTTTGCACGGCGTCTATACATATAATAGTTATATACAATTCATAGACCATTGTAACATTTACCGGTTTTCACAGCATATTTTATATAAACTTCCATTAATTGGCTAAAATCAAATCTGTTGCCATAATAAAATACGATTATCAAATCCAAAACAAAACATTTCTATAGTAAATATAGGTACCTAAATAACATCAATTAATTAATTGGTTTAATCAAAATTTTATGTAATATGACCATAAGAAACAATTTAACTCACCTTGTAAAATCATTTCCAAGTTACGGGAAAAAAATTTACAACACTAGAAAATTATATCCTCAATCAATCAATCAATTACCTGTAACCTATTTTACTGATAGTTTTAATCGACACAAAATATCTCGACTATGTACATCTGAAAATTGTAATACAATTTCAATTAACGATAGCAGTTTGGCAATGACTGAAATATATAAATTTAATCCTCTACCTGTGATGATAAACGCATTCAAGATAACCATGTTACGGTGGCAACATGACCCCGAATTTAACATCGAATCATTCAAGAAAGGAACTAAACAAGTAAGAGTTGTGTAAATAATGATTTCGCTTTCATTTCAAGCTATTCAGACTCATTACGAAAAATTTACATATATTTAATAAAATATTCTATGCATTCAAATTAATGTTTCACAGCACTTGTTTCAAGCTTATATAATTTTACTAAAATTCGAGGGAATAGTTTAATTTAAATTATAAATTTATTATTTTTTAACACAATTTATTCTTAAAAAAAAAAGAATTTAAAAAACAACAAAAAGCATACTTATTATAATATATGTATCTATTTCGTATGTTTATATTACACAAATCAACATTAATAAATATAAATGGTAACATATTACATCTACGTAAAAATAACCTAACAGATAAACTTAAAATGTTAAAACTAAAAAGGCGGGCAAGTGGGTATCGCTTTGCTGTACAGTAGGTTACAAGTGGGTCACTGTTATGAATGGTGTTAAATTTTAATTCAATGATAAAATATCATTGGATAAAAAAAACGATTCTGTTCGAAGACTGTCAGGCAGCGTATGATAAGTATATTTGATGATATTATTGTGAATAAAGTACTTAATATATAACGTTTTTATGGAACCTTGTTTTAAATTTTCAATCCTTAGCTATAAAAGTTGAACATGTTATAACGTTTTAACTACAAAATAATTATTAAATTTTAAATTTCATACATTTTGTCGAAATTCGAACTTAAAATGCTTAAAAAAAAATTGTGCCAATATATTTTTAATATTTTTCATGTGTAAACAATTCTAGTAACAATATATCAGGAACCGTGAATTAAATTTTAACACTTTTTCACCAAAACAAATAACATTTTATTGATATTTATAGAAAAAAAAACTAAAAAAAATGGAAACTGAAAATGTCCGCAGACAGCTCAATATATTTGGAAAATGTTATAGTGTATAGAAAATGCTAATACAAACATTCAGTTCAGATGTCATGTACCTACGATCATTTGTTTTAGAATTGCACTGAAAACCAAAATCGATTTTCTTCAAAACAGATTTTGCGTAAAAATTCCCGTTTTTCCTTAATTTTTCTTTTGTTTTTCAAGGCGCTTTTGAAAATACTGGGAAATTTTTACTTTTGACCCCCCCCAAAGTACCAACTAGATTCACTTTCCTATCAGAAAAGATACTGTTGAAGAAAATCTAAGCTTTTGACTGTCCTAAATGGTGATGACAGACCCAAAAAATAAAAATAAATACATCATTGTAAAATCAATACATTCATCCTTCCACTCAGAATCTAAAATTAAAATATTTATAGATTATTGGTAACAAAATACAAAAAACTCTAAATGTATATTTTACAGAATGTCATAAGTTAAGGTCCATTTTTTGTATTTCTAGGAATTTCTTCCATACCTAAACTAAACCTCGTCTTTTGAAAGTTTGGAACCCAATCACCATATGTTGCATTGTTTGGTGGATGTAACCACAGTCCACATGTAATTTAAGCCTTTAAGTCCCTTTCAACATCATGGTGCCGCACTAGTCATGCATTGTTCGAATTCTATTAAATATGGATCATACACCTCATGGTAAATTCATGCACAATCCTGGCACACCCTTATTTGGGTCAAGCACAATACTAATATTTGTGATATCCGTTGTTGTTCAATTTTCACTCAAATTCTTTGTGCCATCAACGTCTGATTTCCAGCTTCTTTGCTGGAGTCCAGAGTGGTTTTCTTGATTTTAAACTGTGGTTGGGTACTTGGGTGTATTAATCAACATTAATATAATAGCGAATATTGCAAGGTAAATAATATTAGGTTGAGTTTTAATCTCCATTTATAGAAATAGTCACTTAATTTAGGAAGGTCATAAATTTAAGTATTACTACCCATATTTGAAATTCCTCCTCTGGTGACGATCGTAATTTCGTCGGAAAATGTTAACTTAAGTCCTATTGTGTTTTGTATATCGTGTAGATATAGATTAATCATGGTTGGAGCTAGTACTGATGCTTGGATGAGGCCATTATTGGCCAGGTGCCACTTCCTTCTCACGTGACTCACTAAAACATGCTAGCGACGGTTAATGAGCATGTTCTCTAAACGTTTTAATAGATTTTTACATAATTTGACTTTATTAAACATACTCATGGTGTCATGTCTTCAAACAGTGTAGTACGCTGAAAAGAGGTTGACGAATGATGCACTGTACTTGTTCTTTACACAATCACACCCACAGTTAAGAAACTTTGAAACTCCTTGAAAAGCACGGCGCATGATTGGTTCCAGCCTGGGATGAATTGTTTTCTGAACACTCTGGGGACATGTTTCTTCACTTGGTATTGATTCGACAGCACCAACAAAGCGTTCGTAGGAGTTTAGGGTTAGCGGTATGCATTGAATGACGTGGTATAGACGTATAATTCATTATACCATATTTGTTCCATTTTGCCTTTGGTAAGTTCCACCGTGGATTTAGTATTGAACGTATTAGTGGAACTTTTAGACCATATTCTAAAAATTACAGGTCTGTGTTGGCCATGGAGAAAATCCCGTTGTCTATACCTTGTCACAATATTTGAGCCATCTAAGGAAGTTCTTGAGTTTATGAGGTGTGTAGTCTTTTCGCCCTTTCTTGACCTGAACGCTCCCTTATCCTTGGCATTATAGATGAGTTCCAGATTAATCAGAGTAAACCATTCGTGAAGTAATTCGCCATTTTCACCACTTTGGTAATTTTCCCTTACACTGTTGTGGCTGTTAAAGTCCATAGGATATAGATATAGGTGCCAATTAATATATATATGACTATGTAACCTGTTTTTTGCCAGTGTGTGTCTTTTGAAGGGCAGTCCCATCCACATTATTTATGTTAATTTAATAGTACTTCATATTCGGCTTTTGAACATTGAGATACTTTCAATATTATCGTCATATATATTTATATATTTAGAGTTATATTTTCATTGGTATTGATTTTCATTGCTGGGTATCAGTGCCAAATTGGTTGTGCTAGTAATTTGAGTTTGTTTGTTAGCTGACATCGAACTAGTACATGCAGGGAAGGCCACGAGCAGGCTACCATCATCCTCTTACACTTTAGGTAGGAATTTTTCCATTGTCATTGTATTCCATATAACCATTTGATCCGTGTTCAAAATGTTCTTGTTTTTCATCTAATTAAATAAAATAAAAACAAAACGATTATATTCGTCATTAATATACGCCTTACACACGGTAAAGTTATTGAATATTTTCAAATATTTGGTATATTGTGGTAACGAGATAACCACACAGTTTACATGAAATAAGGAGACAATGTAATAAATATGAAATTTTATTTAAATATTAAATGGATTAAAAAAAAAAACAACATATTATTAATGTAAACTGTACCTACAGGCTATGTCTGTCATTACAAAGAGTTTACATGAAAACAAGAAAACCGATTCTTATCTAAGTTTTAATGCAAGTGAAGAACTTGAACGAATTTCACATAAGTGGAGTAGTTCAATACGAGAAAACATTGCTTTGGAACCTAACCAAATACGTAAAATATTTATTGTAGAAGTCACAGGAATTAAATTAACTGGTTTGTAGAAGTAACTAATGTAGTAACTAATGTAAAATCATAATTCATATTTTTTTTTCAGAAGGCGTGGTATATCAAATAAATACACTTGGTGTGGGATATAAACCATTTCGACGCTCTTTACTAGAAATAATTCTCCAAGCAAAGTAATTTGAATTCCAATTCATATTTTATATAATAACAGGGACGATGCCTAGGGGGGGGGGGGGTCAAGGGTGGGCGACTGCCCTCCCAGGATAAGTTCTCGCCCTTCTCTCACCCCCCAGATATTTGAACTCCTATTTTTACTGGTTTGTTACCGTTTATATGATGGAAATTATATTATAATCGTAAATACTAAATAGGATTACTATCTTAATTTTTAACTCTCCGAAATCGGTGAATGTGATGATTCAAAATGTTTAAAAATAGCGGCGGTCACCTATCAGTTAGTCGGGTTTCCCAAACGAGTCGTCATTCTGTTAATTGTGTATTTGTATGTGTCGTGTGTGTGTGTGTGTGTGTGTGTGTGTGTGTGTGTGTGTGTGTGTGTGTGTGTGTGTGAACTGAAAAACAATAACAATAACGTTGACTGTTTATACAGTTGAAACATAAATCATTATTTTGTTTTCTATTGATAGAAGTATAATTATTGACTATTGTTGAGCTTGCCCCTTCAAAAAATTGACTTACCCTTTATCGCACTTCTAGGAAAACAATTCTGGTGCCGTCCCTGTATAGGGTGAATGTAAGTTCCCACACGAAAAAAAATTACATCGAATACAAACTTCCTTTCCCCTTTATTCAGACTTAGGACCGACAAATTAAATGTAGTTGGTTTGGTTAAAATTTGTTTGTTTTCGTGATGTATAAAAAAAGTGTACAATCAATTTTTTAATTGAATCTAGTCCAAATTTAAAATACAATTTAATAATATAATTTATAATGTGTAGGTATGAATGTATGATCCACATATTATTTGTATAAGAAGGTATGAAATAATAATAGTTATAATAATTATAAGAATACTAGCTGATCCCGTGCATTTCGTTTCCCGTTAAATGTACCAACTCTATATGACTCAAACATTGTTCAATGCGTTATTTAATATTCGGTGTATGATGTTCTAGATTTATCTTAACTTTTCTGTTGCCCGGAATAAAAATTCTGAATTGCAGCAGTACATTATCAGATAGGTAATTTACCTGCGGTAGATCGCGGACCCCGTGCTGTTTGTACGTAAGTGTATGATTTAACTCAAAAAGTACCAAAGTTATACCAAGTTTGACGTTTTTACTTAATTCCACCTACCTATAACGTACCTACTAAAATCCGATGAATAAAAAAAACCAAATTTAACCCTTTTTAAATTAGCGTATCTTCTTCCCATAGGTCATTCATTTATATATGTCGCATCCATATCGCGTTATTGTGCGTTTCGCGAAATGGACAACGTTTGCATCCATTTCGCGTAATGAAACCGCGGTTTCTCCACTTCACGTAATTACACAATATGGATAATATTTCGTGAAATGGATACCTAAACTATCGTCAACGGAACTTGTTCCGTCATTTGGATGTCCATATAGCAAAACTTAAAAAAACTTTTATTTTTATATTTTATAATTATATTATTATCGATTATCATAATATATTACAATTAATACTTTAATACAAACTATTATTTATTTAGACATGCTTGTGAGTTATGACAACGAGAATTACATTTTAAATTACTTTTGAAACAAAACTTAACTTTTAAAACTTAAAATACTTTAATACAAACTATTATGTTTATCGTCATTTGGATGTCCATATATAGGTGTTTGCTTGGAGTGACAATAATTCTTATCTAATCTATCATAAACGACAGTCATAATATTGTGTTTAGATATTTTCTATTTTATAAGCATTATTATCGATCGATAATCATTAACAATTCGACCCACCAATGCATACCAGTTTTCATTTTGCTAAGACCGTTCAATACGTGTGTGTTTAGTGTTTGCAAAGTGTGTATAAGAAAGTAAAATAGTGCATATTATTTTTTCCTTTTATATTATACTTCGTTAGTAAATAAATAAAATCATGTCGTTTGACGAAAAAAATGAGTTTTATAAAAAACTTGATGGATATTATAATGATAAACCTGGAAAAAAAACCACACAGCATCGACGAAATAAATTCAATGATACAAAGTTTAGTAAAAGCCAAATTAAATAAGTAAGTTATTTAATTAATTTAATCCAATTTGACAGAAATAGATTATTGTACTTCGTAATAAATATTATGCCTATTTGTTTTTGCAAAACATTTAAATTTAAAAATAATAAATTATATATTTTACAATTAGAAATAAGAAAACAAGGCATGAATACTGAATTACCAAGATCATAGTACTAAATTTTTATCTTTACGTCCTCTCGAGTCTAAACGCGCATCTGAAGTAGCTAATAATTTATTATCAATTTTTCTTACATTTGGCGCACCAAAAATACTGCAGAGCGATAACGGTAGGGAATTTGTTAATTCTATTATAAATGAACTGAAAGAACTTTGGCCAGATTGCGTTATTGTTCACGGTCGACCCAGACACCCACAGAGCCAGGGAAGTATTGAGAGAAGCAACCAGGACATAGAAAATATGTTAAGAGCTTGGATGAAAGACAACAAAACAAAGAAATGGTCAATTGGACTACAATTTGTTCAATTTCAAAAAAATAGTTCTCATCATCGTGTGATTGGTAGGTCACCGTATAAGGCTTTATTTGGGAATGATCCAAAAGTTGGATTAGCAACATCCAATTTACCAATAGAAATTTTACAAAAATTGGTAACGGAAGAAGACTTAGAAGAAATCTACAAAGAAGATATTCAAAGTAAGATCGAAAAAATAACTGTTCAATGTAATGTTTGCGGAACAGAATGTTGTATGGAAACGGACTCCGCCGAAGCAATTTTATGTAATTTATGTGAGAAGAATATGAAAATTAAGGAAGTACGTCATCTAGGAGCTATAGGAATAGAAAAGCAAGCCGAAAAAATGTTACAAGTAAAATCATTTTGGTTTTTATATTTACTTAAAATAATTTATTATTTCATTATATTATAGGATAGTAAGATCAAAATACCAACATTTAAAGTTGGAGACTGTATTGTAATCCCGGTTCCGAAGGTAGATAGAGGTCCTGCAGACCCAGCTAACATTATTGGCGTAGTGATCGACCAGAAAAATGACCTTAACCGTATAGGAACTGAACATGGTGTACTAAAAGGTTGGTATGGTTCTGGAAATATACAATCAGCCACATCAAATTTCATTGACATCGAGCAAGTTAATAAGACAAAAGAAATGTCATTAAGAGAAATTGTCTCTTCTTTAACTGGAGGTCAAGGTTTTTTTAATTGTTATTGTAAAGGCAAATGTCAAACTAAAAAATGTGCTTGTTTTAAAAGTAATTTAAAATGTAATTCTCGTTGTCATAACTCACAAGCATGTCTAAATAAATAATAGTTTGTATTAAAGTATTAATTGTAATATATTATGATAATCGATAATAATATAATTATAAAATATAAAAATAAAAGTTTTTTTAAGTTTTGCTATATGGACATCCAAATGACGGAACAAGTTCCGTTGACGATAGTTTAGGTATCCATTTCACGAAATATTATCCATATTGTGTAATTACGTGAAGTGGAGAAACCGCGGTTTCATTACGCGAAATGGATGCAAACGTTGTCCATTTCGCGAAACGCACAATAACGCGATATGGATGCGACATATATAAGATATATTTACAAAAATAATAATACAAATCAACAAACATGCCCGATTAACCAATAGCAACCAATATAATATAATACACCATAGAGTAAATAAAGACAACGGTATCGAGTTCAAATCCCAGACATCAATAAATAGTTTTGGCAGTTTTTCTAACTATTCGGTTGACTTTTTAAAAATTTTCTGTCGTAAAAACCTTCACCTGGCAATTACAAACATCTTAAAAAAAATTTGAGCAAAATCGGCCCAGCCGTTCTCAACTGATGCAATTTCGAATTTTTTGTTTCCATTTTTATATATATAGATTAACAGAAAAAATTAAATTTTATTGGCTTATTGCGAAATCTCAAACCCTTCACATAGTCATACTGTGTAATTATTTTTAAGTTGTAATCTGATATTTTGTTATTGATATAGTTTCCCCCTGGTATTTGGGCTAGTGCTAGTCCTGATACAAGTCTTACTACAAACGCTCACGAAAATACAAATAATATGTGGACTTACTAAACCCCCCCTGCATACCTAATAACTGCTGATTATTATTAGTGTCCCACTACCCACCAGACATATCAAACTTACAATTTTACATTGATTTTTATAGAGATATAATTCCATGATATTATTTAAAATAATCTACAACTTCTACCAATATAATCAGCTCCCACTGTATAACGAAGGTTAATCTGATCAGGCTTAATCGAAAACTGCAGCTCTATTCGACAGGTACCATATTCAACTGTATTAAACACAATAATAGCGTACAGGACGATAACTGGTTTTCTTCGGTGATGGTCAGGGTACACACAACTATTAAACACTTTACTTAATTAATTATCAGTAATTAATGTATGCAGAATGATAACACACCCATGACCCATGCACACATGTAGGACGCCCGGGTTGAATTTTTTTTTAATAGTCAATATAGTGTATAGTTAAACAGATAAAATAGGCGTTATGTTGACCAACAAAACTAATTACAAATTAAGCATATTATTACAATACTTATAGCCTATAGGAAATATAATATAATGCTCAAGTTCCAGAAAAAATGTAGTATAAATATGTTTGAAATGGCTAGTACATTTTTTTAATAATTAGAAAAACTAATAAAAGACGGCAAAAAATGGAAAGAACTACGCAAAACCAATTTTTAAATAATTGATTTTATTATATTCCTGAAATTCAAAAATAAATAAATAAAAACTACCTAAGAGTTTGAAAGTTACATAATCGTGTTTATAAAATATAAATTTAAATATTCGATGAAAATAGCTACGTAAAATAATTACAGTCAAATAACAAATTGTAATATGTCAAAATCCAAATGTAAATTAATATTTTTTGTTTTTCCTGTTATTTGGAAAATTAACTTGGAACTTTT